GAACGACAATTCTTTCTTAATGATCCAGCCTATCATGATATGGCAGATCGAATGGGTGTACCCTATTTACAACGTACACTCAGTATTCAACTTACCGAACACATTCTCAAATGTCTACCAGAACTAAAACGAGAATTACAAGCACGTCATCGTGATTTAGCTAAAGAAGTATCCGAATATCGTACATCAGCTATGGTCGAAGGTTCTGGTTTTGATACAAAAGCTTTAGTAGTATTGACACATGAATTACAAGAAGATTTTGATGCTGCAATCAAAGGAACTAATTTGAAAGATTCTGATTTGAAAACATTGACAGGTGGAGCTCGTATTGCTACGATTTTTAAATATCGTTTTCCATCGGAATTGGCTAAAGTCGATCTTCAAGATAAAGATATGCGTAATCACTTAGTTTTAGCCATAAAAAATATTCGTGGTTTTCGAGCTGGTATATTTACACCAGACGAAGCATTCGAATACATTGTTCAAATGCAAATAGCTAAATTCGAAGAGCCAGTATTGACATGTGTCGATATGGTTGTTACTGAATTGAAAAAAATTATTCATGAAGTAACAAATAAACTGAAACGTTATCCACTCTTGCAACGAGTCATCGAAGAATTATTGACACAATATTTAAAAGAACGTGAAATTGCTACAAAACAAGCTTGTACTCTTTATGTTCATACACAATTATCATATATTAATACAACTAATGAAGAATTTATCGGATTTGCTAATGCACAAAAATCGGTCAACGCAAGTGAGATAAATCGACATATTACTAGTCAAATCATTCGTAAAGGTTTTCTTCGTATGCATACCAATGCAAAATTATTTCAAGCTAAAGAATATTTCTTCGTTCTATCAACAGATAGTCTATCTTGGTTTAGTGATTCTGATGAACGAGAGAAAAAATATATGTTACAATTGGAGAATCTTAAACTACGTGATACTGACAGTGGCTTTATGGCTAAACGATCACAATTTGCTTTATACAATACAGAAGGAAGAAATGTTTATAAAGAACATAGAATGCTCGAACTTTCTGCTGAAAATAAAGAAGATATGGAGAATTGGAAAGAAGCATTTTCTCGTGCTGGTATCTTTTCTGAACGTGGACAACGTGTCGAGGCTAGTACAACATCGGCAGATGCCAGTTCCGGTGATCCACACATGGAACGTCAAGTGGAAACTATCAGTATTTTGGTAGCATCTTATATGAAAATTGTAGCAAAAATGACACGTGATTTCATTCCGAAAACGATCGTGTGTAATGTTGTACAAGAACTACGAAAATATATTTCAAGAGAATTGTTAGCCAATCTCTATGCTATTCCAAATTCGAAATCACTCTTACAAGAATCAGCTGAAGAACGACAACGTCGTGAAGCGAAAATTGCCGAATTTGAAGCGGTGAAAAGTGCACTGAATATCATAGAAAATTTTCATATCAATACACGTCAATTATCTACAACTATTGTGACAACATCAACAGCAACTACTAATTTCTCGAACATCACAATGAATAATCATTTTGAACAATCATCAAATTCGTCGAAAAATTTAGTTGACACTTCATTTGGTGTTAATAGTAACCGTTTTACTACACCTAATCCGTTGAGCCCTTCTTACATAAACGGCTCAAAGACGCCACCATTGTCCATAGTAGCTCAACGTCCACTGCCACCTGTTCCGCCGCGATGATTTGATGGATCACCAGTTTCGTAACAAGATTAACCCATGTACTGAGAAAAAAAAAACTATAATATTCACATGTCGCTATTGTATTCTTACTTTATTCTTATGCACACTTTTTCTTTTTTATTCTTACATTATTATTTTCATCGAGACAATGCTTTGTTCATTTTTATGTGAAACATTAAATTCATGCGAGAAAAAAAAGATTCTTAGTCTTGGAAAAACTTCATGCAGAGAAAATGATTTTTGTGAAAATGTTTATTAATGTTCAAATGATACATTCGACAGGAGACAAGAGTCAGCTTAACGAAGCCTATTCATAGATATTGAGAAATGGCAACGCTTAAGATGTTCATAAAAGAAAACAATTTTAATAGACGAATGACCTATTGGTCGATGTTCAAAACATCGAGGAGAAATTGATTGAATATCATTCTACCAATTTTCAGTGCTATGAACATTTCAAAATACGATCAACTTGTAATACTTAAAGTTTTAGTTGTTGATATAGACAAACATTGGTTTCAGATTGGAAATTATGTTAAATACTCATATGTACTACACTTGGAACTACTACCGAACCAGCTGATTTTTCTATCACTTTTAACGGTACTGAACCTGGTACATTTTTGTTGATTTTCATCGTTTGAATATTTGAGAATAACAATCATCAAAAGCTAGCATGATCTGCTTCGATATTCGCTTGACGAGAACCTTTTCAAATGTTTTTCATTAAAAGATAGGGTGTGGGTGTAGGTATGGGTGTGGGTGTGGTCGTGGCGTGTGGCTGTGGATTTAGTTTATCTCTTGACTCACACCCATACTCACGCTCATACTCTTTTGCACGAGACTTGAACTGGTCACTTTGTTGTTTGAGCAGATGTTCTAAGCCAAGTTAGCTACGAACAGCATCGTTTCTCCATTTTATTATCACTTGAGAACAATTATTTGAGTTTCTGATAAATATCCAACTGATTTTCTTGTTTATCCCTTTCAAAAATATTAGTCATTGGAGCACAAGTCTTATAACATTCATTTTATAGCTAGCACATATTTCGGAAAACTAGTAAAGCAGGCGAAAGACACGGTCCAAAACAAAGATGCTCGCAAATGATGGTTCATTGAAGGTGCCATCATAGCAGTAGCCTGCATCTCTATCAGCATCCTAGGATCGAAGAAACCTCGAACCGTAATCAAAGTACTGGTAGAAAAATCGCGTCCATCGAAAATTTCTTTTCGAATTTGAACAAAGCGCCCACTAAGGTTTGCGTCTAGTATAAACACGGTCATTGCTACTATATCATCCAAGTCGCCATTGTGTACTTCTGCCAATGTCTGATTGATTCGGACAAAGATGTCTCGCATTTGACCTTCAAAATCGTTTTCCAGAGAACGATTGGTTTTAACGTCGGAGATAGTCGTAACACCGCCAAGATAAATTAGGGCATGTGGATCCTCGATACGAATAGAGCGAGAATAAGCATTTTGCTTCATATCAGACGTATCAGGATCTATTATTTTTTGGAATGATGCACCTATGGAAATAGAAAAAGGAATATAATTCCTTGTGAAATTCAGTTGAAACAGAATCTCATAGACAAAACAATCTATTAGGGAAGTTTAAAGGAGACAAACATTCCACAAGAAAAATTTGTAAAGCTATCACTATCTAGAATCTAGTGGAACACGGTTGTTAATGAGTGTGGAAGAATATAGCTAAAACAGTGTTACTTATCCTCTCTTCGACAGAGCGTGTCAAACAGAACCGATGAACTTTTTAACGAGAATAAAGTTCGTAACTGGTATTTCGATACTTTAGTACTTCTGTACCTGGCTTTTAAGGATTAGACGCATAGAGTTTTACCTAATAATCCAACAGAAATTGAACTGAAAACTTCTACGATGATCTAGTGTATCATGAAATATGTTATTTCAAACGTTCTGATCAAGTTGATCTGGTTTGATCAATATTGAGTAGTTGATACACCTAGTCTGTCTGTGTGTCAAAGGTAATTTCGTATAGAGATTGCAGTCAACTACCTTTTGAAGGCTGTTTGTTGATAAGTCATGCTGAAATCCTATATTTCGGCTGCAGCAGCAGTGAGAACTTTTTCCATAAAGACGGAGTCGACTTTAACTTTTCCTTCGGCTTGTCCACGTAACGCTAGCGACAGAGTGTAACAACATTACGTTTTTGCTCATTTTGTTTTGACCATAACTCCGAAAGGACAAGCCGTAGAGAGGCGAGCGACATCTTAAATTGAAGAGAAATTTGTTTTAAAGATTTTGAAATCTGTTTGAGCTCACAAAAATGTGCTTCTGAAAATCTATAATCAAAATACTGACACCCCCTTTTTCGATGGATTTTGCAAAAGTAGGTGTTAGCATTTCAGTGATAGATCTATTCCATAATTTATTATCATATCGCTACTCCTGTCTCTTACTCTTCCCTATTCTCATTCCTTTTATACTTCTTATCACATGATTGTTACATTGTTGGTCGATGCTCATGACCAGGCGTTCCTTTAGGATTCTCTAGGATGTATAGGCAATAAAACTCAGCATAAGGGAAAACATAAACCTCAACTGGATCCATTTCTCTCTCCGCTGAAAAAAGCTGCCTAGGTCCCTCCAGGTACTCAGTATCAAGCACTGTTGAATCGGCATTTCCCTCTGTGTCACAATGCTTTCTGGCCATCTTGCGACACTCCTACACACAATACAGGACTTCTTTTATTGTAAAGTTACTTCTCGCATATCCAAATCCTAAGACGATCAGACAAATCAGAACTGGTAGCAATAGTGTAAATGAATTCATGCTGTTGATGCTCTTTCTACAAATGAACGAGTGAATGCAATCAACTTACATTGACACAAAAAACTATGCAATTGCTTTCCTAAAAATCTGTTACAGGCCTCGATCCACCTCCTCTATCTATCTATCTCTCTCTCTCTTTCTTTCTTTGAAATTGTTATTCTTTTTCTTTTCTTTTTTTTTCTTCGCTATTGTCTCTTGTAATATATATGTACGTGTTGTTAAGGACGTTTGGATATATATATAAAATAAATAAAAGAAACGTAAGCTCGTCGAAACGAGCTAACAATTTGGTGCCGTGACCCATCTTCTTCTATTTACTACATCGAAGAAGAACGAACTTATTAATTAATTTATTCATCCGTGACGGAAAGAGTGAAGTATCATCTCATCTTTCTAGGAAAGAGAGAATTAGATATTCATATATAAATTAGTTTCAAAATTTAATTATCAAAAGAAGGTATATTTCTTTCAAATAGAGTTCAAATTTTTTGTCCTTCCTTTTAAGTGCATTTTTTTCAACAACGGCTACCGGTACAAGGAACGCAATAAAACAAAGTGGTACGGATCTTTTATCATACGAATTAATTACTAATTCACCAACACGCATACGAAATAAAAAATTAAACGATATTTCATCTATGCAAGAAATGGAAACAACCTCAATGGAAACTCGACAACTTCATTCAAGTCAACAAGAAGCGATGAAGAAAATAGCTGAATTTTCAGGGGAAGCTAATGAAACTGATATTGATGAATGGTTATTCGATTTAAATAATTTATTTTCATTAATGAAATTAAAAGATGAAACAAGAATTCTCGAAACTATGAGCAAATTAACAGGACCAGCATTACAATGGTATGAAGACGATTTACGATTATTCACCAATTGGAGTGATACTGAAAAAGCATTACGAGATCGATTTAAAGAATTTACATCAAACAGTCAATTAATACAAGAATTTTTTTATATTTATCAAGAAGAAAACCAATCTGTTATATCATTTTACGAGAATGTTATTCGAAAATACAGAAAGTTTCAACAATTTATTACTGAACAACAAGTTATTACGGTATTACAGTGTGGTGTTAAAAAATCATTAAAAGAACATCTAATTCGTAACGAAAAAGAAATTAAAAAACCTGAACAATGGCTGCAAATTGCAAGAGAAGAAGAATATATACAAAAACGAATTCAACAAAAAATTAATGTTCAACATCATGAACCAAAAAATCCACCATTTTTTGAACATACATTACCAGCAGCAACAATTCAACCAACATCAACAAATGTTCACTCATCAAATCAACAACCATTGACGTCGCGTCATTATTATAAAAAACAACATCAACAACAATCAACATCAACACGTAATCGAACATACCCAACACAAAATAATTATATGACTCTTAACCAGAATCAAAAAACTTATGCAAAAAAGGAAACTCAACAATCAACTCCATGTTTAATTTGCAACAAAGACAATCATACAACAACTAAATGTTTTTATAAGAAGAACAACGGCTGTTTTAAATGTGGACAACCAAATCACCAAATACGTGATTGTCCTCAACAACATTTTTTCGAATAAAGGGATCGGATGATGGCGACGATCCCTGTGGAGCCAAAAAGTCATCAACAACAACAACATTTTCTCCCGTTTTCGTCGAAATTTTATGCAACAACACTCCACAAAAAGCACTCATCGATACCGGATCGGCCATCACTATTATACATCAACATCTATTAAATGATATACCACATGAAAAATTAATACCAAAAACAATAAATCATTTATCTGCAAATTGCTCAACATTAGATATTATTGGTGAAATACCTTTAGAAATAAACGTTAATGGAATAAAAACAACAATTATTGCTGATGTTACAACAAATCTTGTTACAAATTTGATATTAGGTAGTGATTGAATTCAATCAAACAACGTTTATATTCTCACATCTGAACAACGAATTATGATCCGAAGTCGAGGGAAAGAAGTATCAACTCCTTTTGCTGCACCACCTCTTCTAAATTATCCAGCTACTCTTATCAATTATATTACTCTTCCTCCTTTTTCAGAAAATATAGTTGAATCAAAAGTTCAACCCAACAATATGTTTAATGTATTATTTGAACCAAATCCTCGATTAAAAAATAAAGCATTATTTACTGCCAATGCATTACTCAATATTGAAAATAGAACAATAAAAATTAGTATAATTAACGCAACCAATCGACAACAAACGCCTTCCGAAGGAACCAAATTAGGTATGGTGATACAAGTATCTTCTACAATTGGTGTCACCATGTCATCAAATTATTTAACAGAACGCATTCCGGAAGGAAAAGCGTGTAAAGAGCTCATTCCTGAAGGGAAAGGAGCGAATAAATCAAACAAATTAAATTTTAATAATATGCTGACTACAACAGTACATGGAAAACAACACCAATGTCGTGAATGTTATCGAAATTTTGATACTGGCAATGAATTATTTAAACACCTTAGAAACAAATGTTATCCCGAAGAAATAAGACAACAAATAACTAAATTAACTGAACATATTAGTGATGATAAACAACGAGAACAAATTTTAAAAGTTTTATGGAAATATGGAAAATTATTTGATATTAGAAGACCATCAAAAATTGATATTGTTTTAAAAAATGCTATTGATACTGGTTCACATCGGCCAGTCCACACTCCACCATATAGAAAATCCAACAAAGATCAAGAAATCTTAAGGAAAGAAACAGAAAAATTATTAAAAAATGGAATTATTGAACATTCAACATCTCCATGATCATCATCAGTCGTATTAGTAAAAAAGAAGGATGGAACAACAAGATTTTGCGTCGATTATCGTCGCTTAAACCAAATTACAACAAAAGATGCTTTTCCATTACCAAGAATTGATGATATTTATGACCAATTAACAAAAGCAACATATTTTACAAAATTTGATTTCAAAGCAGGTTATTTTCAAGTACCATTAGATAAATCAGATCGACCAAAAACAGCATTTTCAACTCGAGATGGACATTTTCAATTTAAAGTATTACCGCAAGGTCTTACTAATGGACCACCAACATTCCAACGTATTGTTAATCAAATATTGGGTCCGAATAGGTGGAAACATGTACTCGCCTATATCGATGATATTATTATTTACTCACAAAATTTTAATGAACATTTAAAACACATTGAAGAAGTATGTTCATTATTAAAGAAAGCAAATTTTAAATTAAATGTTGAAAAATGTGAAGTTGCAAGAACGGAAATATTATTTCTTGGACATGTAATTAAAGCTGGTGGGTAATTCCGTGGGGTTCCTACCACCGTTACATGAAATATCTCCAATTTGCCTTCAAATAGCATCATTCGATAGAACTTTTTATGCTGATCATTTTGGTAACCAAAAAGTCTAGCGTTGACCACACAATAAGAGAGAAATTCGCAAAATACGAAAATACGCATTTCTGACATTATGTCCAAATTCAAATGTAATCGTTTTCATTGTTTCCACGGATATGAATCGAAATATTTTTTCTAATCAAAATTTCAACTTCAGATTCGTGTAGAGCATCAAAAATTCTTCAAGATCTTCTACTTTCTAGGTTAGGTTTCAATTATTTTTACTGGGATCTCAAGAGCTACTCCTTGCCGCTAAATACGTAAAGATTGTGAAAATGTTTGCCTAGCATTTGATTCAAAAATGGAATTACGGCAAAAGGCCTGATATACAGTTCGATAGAGGAGCTTCTGCTCTATCGACCTATATAAATAACTTTTTACGGGAGAAGCATTTGCTATGCAAATAGGACGAAAAACAAAAAACTTTGCTTTTTTTCACATTTTTTGTAGTATGGGCTTTCTAATGGTTAACCATTTACCCTTATATTATATAAATAACAATAGATTCAGAATCAGCATTAAAAACTGTATTGAATGATGTATTTTGAATTAGGTGAAATTCTTTTGTATCGAGTCTTGGTAAACAGCTATTAATTCCACACTTATGTTACTCATATAAAAAACGACTGGAAACGTTTTAGGTGCATTTCGGTTCAATTAGAAAATGAAGGTGGATTTATCTCAAATTTTCAGCAAATACTCAGCTATATGCTAGGAGTCATCACTGAAAATTTCAACTTGATCTGTTGAACTTTTCCTTTACTTCGACATATCACAAACCTAGACCCTATATGTACATATGAATGCCCTATAGAGGTAGTCTTACGGACCTCCGTTCTCCGCTATGCGCTTCAGACCCAGAGTTATTTTTCTAGAGTCACTAGTAATCAGTGAGGACTACAATATTGCAAGGACGTGAGACCCATAGGAAACGTGCCTTGGTATCACATTGACGTACACAATGCCAAAAATCCATGAAAAAGCCCTATAGAGGTAACCTTGTGGACCGTCGTTCTCCACTATGCGATTCAGACCCAAAGTGATTTTTTCAGGATCACTAGGAATTAGTGAGGACTACAATATTGCAAGGACATGAGGCGCAAAGAAAACCTGCCCTAGTATCACTTTGAAGTAAACAATGCCACAAATCCGTGAAAAAACCCTATAGAGGTAACCTTGTGGACCTTCGTTCTCCACTGTACGATTCAGATCCAGAGTGATTTTTTTAGGGTCACTAGTAATCAGTGTGGGCTCCAATATTATAGGGACATAAAGCCCACAAAAAACCTGTCCTGGAATCGCTTTAAAGTAAACAATGCCAAAAATCAATGAAAAAGTCCTATAGAGTTAACCTTGTTGACCTTCGTTCTCCACTATGCGGTTCAGACCCCAAGTGATTTTTCTAGAGTCACTAGTAATCAGTGTGGGCTACAATATTGCAATGACATGAGACCCACAAAAAACCTGTCCTGGCGTCACATTGAAGTACACAATCCCAAAAATCGATGAAAAAGCCCTATAGAGCTAACCTTGTTCACCTTCGTTCTCCACTAAAGCCCCCGACACATTAGAAGACCCGGGGTCTTCTATTCTGTCTTACCGTTCACAAGTTAAAAGGGGGGTCTTCTATTATGTCCCTAAAAAAGGTCATATTTTTTGGCAATTTTGCCAAAAATTCTTACTTTCATTTGATTTTTGTCCCTGATATCATTAACAAATGAGTTTTTTTCTACTTGTTTCACTTGTGCGTGGTAAAAAAAACAAATATTATCTCGTGAGAAAGGGGAGACCATGGTGCATAAGAAGTATTCTTAGCAGATACAGTCATTGTATCCCAACATTTTGGTACGATATCTGTTAGAGTTCTTTTTTTAAGGCTAAGACCTATCACTGCAATATTTTATCTTCCTGATAACTAAATAAGTGCAAAAAAGAAAATGATTTTTTTATCAAAATCATTTAATTCAGTTACTTATGTGAAAGTTTGATTAATCCCTTCCCCCTCCATCTTTCCACAGAATGGAAGTCCAGGGTGTGCTCCTGTTCCGCAAGCTATAACTTCGCAACGATGCATGTTCCGACAAGAGTTTTTGTGTTATTTGATAGCAAAATGTTTATTCTTTCATTGTTCATCGGCTTTAGTTCATTTTTCATAACGGGAACCTCGATTCTCAACGGAGAATTCTAACCCACCGAATGGGGTTCTATTCTATGAGGGAAGAAGTTTAGTATAGATGGAAATCGTTTACAGTGAATTCTCCTACTAGCGTAGTTATAAATCTCAAGCTAACTTCGATAAGTATGACTGTCTTATTAGAAACTATTTATAGAAAGTCTGTGGTTGAATATACAATCCGTGGTTTTTTTTCATTTGTCTCGAAGATGCCTTTGGGTCTTATGGAGGAAAGAAATAGATTCACAAACTCTAAAGAAGTATTCATATATAAAATCATGACGTACCTACATGACGCTATATTTTCTTTCGTTATGGAACACTGTTTTGTAGTTCAAATGCTTCTGATTCTCTAGAAGAAAGTCGAAGATAGAGAGGTCTTTGTATTAATACACATCAACATTTTACCTAGTCTTTTACTAATGTGTAAAGATCTCTTCATGCGTTATACGTGCGAAAATGTACCGTACTCATTAGATCTTGTTTTCACGAAAGCGTATTTTTCGTGCATAGAAACTGAAGAATATTTGTAAATTAAGCTGCAGAGTACTGAAATGACTCCACAAGATGTTGTTAACAAAGTAACACAATCTTTAATAGATAGA